GGCAGCGGGGTGCGGCGGAGAGCGCCCCCCACCAGCCCGCGCGCGGTCCTCGGAGCGCGCAGATGGAGAAACGACCGAGCCGGGCGGTGGAGACGGCAGGGGCTCGGCGGGGGCGCGCGTCCGGCAGGGGCCGCCTTCCCGGAGTTCCTGAGATGCGGGCGGTGGAGAAGCGGCGGCGAGCTCAGACCTGTCACATCTCTCCGGACCGTTAAGAATTTACCGAAAAAAAGAAAGATGGTGTTTAAATGTAGGTGTACGCTCAGGTACACACATCCCAAGGCAGGTGCTCCTAAGAGGTAAAATGGAAAAAGGTTTCGGGTTGGCCTCTCATTCGGTAGCGGATTTCTTTCTTGGCTGGGGAGGGAAGCGGCCCCTGTGCCTGAACCACAGGGGCGGCGCGGCGCCTTCCCTGGGGGACAGGATCAGGACAGGGCGGAGAGAAGGGACCGCCGAGGAGCCCGGGCCAGCATGGGAGGTGCTGATGGTGCAGAACCTTGCTTGCCAACTCTACCCGAATTTCGTAGTCTAAAGTAGAAGCCAAAGAGATGATTTTATTTGTAAATTCCAAAGAGGGATTGACCACCGCAGGCTCCCAGTCCACCTCCCCGGATGGTGGAGGCCGCGTTCCCTCTCCCTGTAAGGCACTCCACGAAGACGAACTTTTCACGGTGTCCATTTTATTCACAGGTGAAGGGCCGAATGGTGCTCAGAGGAAATAGCGGAGAGCACAGGATGCAGTGGAACAGGAAGCCCTTGGGGTTTTGTGCCTTCGGAGTTCTTTGCACAGATACGGTTAATAAATTATTTTTTGATGGCAGTAATGCGGCTGTCCCCTCTTTCAGCTATAACACTGAGACTTCCCTCATAGGAAAGCTTTTGATTTTCAGTCTGATAGAACATGTCCTGATCTAGTATTATGGTTCTAAAAACTGCAAGTGAAAAAAAAAAAAAAAAAAAAAAAAAACCCACAAACCCTTAAACCCATATTGCTTCAGCTTTCTAATGCGCAGTATATTCCTCTTAAGGAAAGATTGACCCAGACTTTGCCATCTACTCCCAGCCTTTCTCGTGCAGCAAATAAAAGCATTCACACATGATACTAGGGGCTGCTGTCGGGTATTTGAGACGAAAAAATTACTTTTGCAAAGCATTCCTGGTTCATTGCCTGCTCTTCCCAGGATGCCATGGTCTCCCCCTTCTCTGCCTCCTGGAATAAATGCAGTGTACAAAGAAAGGACTTGTAATGCTGCCGCTGGGCAAATTCTCCCTTCCCTGAAGCCAAGTTCAGCAGTGGCCACTCGGGTTGTCCTAGTGCTCCCCAGTGCGTTCACCTACCTTTCCCTTCTCATTTCCACTTGGCTTTAAGAGCTTACTCATGGTTTTCCGTTGAGCTGCTTTTGTACCACATCCCAAGCTAGTGCTCTCAGCTACCTATTAGCTGTTTCCACAAGACATAGTCATGCAGGGGAGAGGATGAGCCCACTGCCCGATAGTTTCTACTGAGGAGCCCATCCAAGAGTGTTTGGCTGGTGTCACCAGCACTAACTTGGGGTTTTACTGTACGGCTCCCAGGTAGCATGTGGGAAGGACTGGGTTTGGGTTGCGGAGGTGCTGTCCACAGTAGGGACATGGCTGACCTTCTCCCTGCTGTTGAGCCACTAGTAAGACCGCTGGTAAGAGGAGCCTCACTCTTAGGACACACAGCTCAGCAAAGCAGAAGACTGTGAGGCGCTTTAGTTGAAGACAGGGATTCAAGTTAGAATTCTGTTTAATTCAAGTTAGAATTCAAGTTTAAATCTAGAAAAATCACTCTGGGCCAGTTTTGTCAACCGAGGCTGCTCTACTTACATGCTAGAAAATTATATGAAATTGTTTAGTTCAAGAAATTCACCCAGGGCACTTTTTACTCACCACTTTAAGCACCTTCCTATAGATAAGGATGTGCATTATTCTACTAAAGTATAGTTTTCCTTGCAGTGCCATCAAAACCCCCAGGTAGGGAGGTCCAGTGTCATCTCTTACTCCTTACCCTTCACATCCCAGTTCAATTAGTTGTCAGTTTCTATGTTTACAATACGATTGTCCAAAATACCCTCACTGAAAATTCTTTGGCAAAGGCTCATGTTCAGAACCACAGATCTGAAAGTCATCTTAGTGGCCAAACTCCTCCGATCTACAATCCCATAAAATTTCCCAACCTATAAGTCATTTGGTCCCAACTGGAGTTCCAGGGAAGTTATCACTTCCTGGGAAACCTACCCAGCTTGTGAAAATATACATCATCAGAAATCTTGTTGAGCCGAAACTCTGCCTCCATACTTTCATTCTTTCCTCAAAGCTCATTTGTTATGGAAACCTTGTATGAATTATGTGCCAGGCATGGATAATACAAGAGAGAACAAAGCAAATGTCTTTACCTTCATGGAGCCTATATTTTAGTGGGAGGGACTGACAATAAACAAATTATATAATGTGTCATAAAATGAGAAGTGAAGTTTTGGGCCACAGAGAACATAACTTCTTGGCAGGATTACAGAAGACATTTGTTTTCCAATCACAGTTTCCCTAACCAATTTACTATTAAGATCTTGAGAACTTGATACTCCTAGCAATATGATAGAAAGGTGCCCTTTTACTAATTGTGGGGTCCCTTGGTAGTGTAGTCACATTAAAAACCAGTGTGTCCTGAAATGTCTAATATTCTTTATAATGCCCACTAGAATCATCTTTGTAGGTAGTTTGATGTCTTGACACATTTCAGAGCACACATTTTATAAATGACAAATAAAGGGTCCTTCACTCATAAGGTTGCCTGTTTCCATGTCCTAGTCCACTAGTGTGATTAGTGTGATGTGTGTTTTGTAAGAATCATGGTAATCATCCTAATTCTCAACAGGTAACTTTATTTGTTTTTTATAGGCTTTGGACATTGTGTGGGTGAGATCAACACAAAACTGTACTGGAAAATGTCCCCTATGGGTCACACCATTCATAATATCTGGAGGGACTCATGCATTACAACTCCATAAGCCATGTATAAAAATGCAGAGAAAAATCACGAAGTGGAAAGGCAAACAATTTTAGTTCTGATGTTATCCTACTCACAAAAGGCAATGAAAGCAATATTCAGACAACTGAGGTATTAGGAAGATCATCAAATTGCACCATCATGAAATTAGAAGTGCTGAGGACTCTCTAGAAAGACCTGGAATTAGAAGTTTTGAATGAGAAAAAAAAATAGATATGAAATTGCAGTAGGAGTTGCCCAATGATAATCTCTAAATTTCAAAACAGGTCAAGAGCTAGGTGGATTCTCATGAAGAGGATTTCTTCTGCAGAGGTTGTGCTGTGAGTTCAAAGAGGAAGGAGAAAAATACAGAGCCTTGCTACTCCAAGCACAGAGAAAGAGAACTGAGGAGAATCCTAGAGTGCCCAGTCCAGGACTTCAAGTTTGAGGAAGGCTGCAAAATCCTCAGAAACCTCAGGTCAAGGAGCCAGCTGAAGTGTACCATAGCAGCAGAGGACATTTTAAGGATTTGCCATCCCTGGAAGGCATGAGGCCACCCTACAAGAAAAGCATCCAGGTGACACATAGGATGAGAGCAGAGGAGACACAAAGGTGGCAAATGAACTGCAAAGTCAGTGTTGGAAGACATCAGTTAAATGTTTATGTAATTCTTGTACTGACTGCAAACTACTTGTCCTTCTGGGTACTTACTGGCACATCCAGCATTGCCATTTATTTATATAGTTGTTGGTCTCTTTGTCAGTATTTTTGCCTTTCCATCCTGGATATCCTTCCCAAACACTGCTATATGGTACTATACTTAATATCATCTAGAATTGGCAGGTGGGTACATGGAAGTTTACTTTGAAAATTCACGAATCCAGCTCCCTCAGAGGACCTGGTGATTTGGAAAGATACAAGGAGATGTCTTTTCTGCGTGACCTGAAACAAAAGTGGTGAGTTTCTATTCTCTTTTCTCTTTGCAGACCATAGATGGGATTCCATTTGACCATTCAAGAGCTCCGCACCACTTCTAGTTGGGGCGAGAAACCATAAGCACAGAGGAAAGGCAATGCTCTTTGTCTCTGGAATGCTTTTTCACAACCAAGAAAACACATTTTT